TGGGGGGGGGGGGGGGGGGGGAGATGTCAGTTGCCATAACAGTAAAGCCTAGGTAGCTATTTGGTGGCTCGTGTTATCATTGTATCGAACACAGTCAGTTATAAAATTAGATAATTAAATTAATAACTTGTGTTTTTCACTTATCCATGTGGGCATACAAATTTCCAGATGCATGCAAGGGTTCTTGTAGATGTTATTTTAATATCTTGCAATTATTGCCAGGTGAATCAGGAAGAAGTATTAGGCAGAATTTTTGTGAATTGTTACCAAATAGTTACATGATCTATTAATACATATTACCAGCCTATCAAAAAGAAGGGATAAAAAATTGCTAAAAGCTTCTCATCTTCCGGAATGGTATTTGGTAAGTAGTAGATGTGGTTGCCAACGTAAAATGGTGTTCAGGTATGGATGGAGACTGAATGACTTCCTCTTTCTAATTAATTTGGTAACTTCTAATCTGTAGAGAATGTGCACATAAAGGAGAGGTGTTTATTCAACAATTTAATTACAGTTGGGAGTCCTTTATTGATTCCAAATTACCGGTAGTTGAGTCATGTGGAATTTCTACGAGCAATCAGATAAAGGTGGAACGTATATGTACCAAGACAGGCACAGCCAACATCCAGTTCTTATGATGGGAATTTATACACAGCTTAGGAACTCCTCCATGCATCTTAGCTTCTAGTTTGAGACTTCCTGTTATGCTTTTGTCTAGTTTATCTTAAGCTGAAGGAACCATACACATGAATTTCATGGTTGATTCAAGAGCTTCTGTCATTCTTATGATAAACCAATTTATTTGTTTATCAGAACAACTTCATCTCATCCATCTCTGTTTTGCATCGTATTTAATATATACCAATACATAAATGACTAGAGAAACACCTGAATTTTAAACCTTGTCATCTACACATACGGGGTGCTTCAAAGTTTTCCCTGGTATCACAACTGTCATGAACATTGACGAAGGAAGAATAATTTCTCATTATGTATGCATTTGTTGTTTGTGTGTGTGTGTGTGTGTGTGATGTCGGGAGATTGGAAGGTAGATACTTATGCTATTTAGTGCAAACTTCAGCCAATACAATTCTCTTAACTCCAATTGTTGTATTTTCTCTCCGGCAGGTATTGTCTCATTACCATACTCCGTTGGAAAGGTCCACATTCACTTTATGGTAAAACTGTTTTGACCCTCTTCATTGCTGTTCCTTAACATAGCAAAACATTCATTAACTTTTGCTTACAGAGATTTCATTTTCATGTTTGCTTAATGAAGTTATTGTTTAGAAAGTGAACCTAGTGAACCCATTTCTCTTTGGTGAAATCCAATTGTGTTTTATGAGACTTCTTTTATTTGGAGAAAGACTTGTGTGGATTTATTGGTGAGACGCTGAAGTACGTTTCATAGACATCTCTTTACAATCCTTTTTCTTTCTCCACCTCTCTCTACTAAGCTTCTCCACCCATGACTATATATCCATAGTAAAACTTTCCAACTTTATACCCATACCAAAAAAACCCACCACCCACCACCTCCTAATAACATTCAGGATCTCTCTCTCTGTGGAAACCAACCAGCTCTTGTTTAAGTATCTAATCTCAGTTCAAAAAGTTTTTCAGACTTCCTTTCTGTTGAGGAACCCACTACAATGACCAAGCACCATATCCATTGCCACAATCAAGCACACACCTTTTTTCTTAACCCCCACAGGCCGGTTGTGCACATGTTTCTTTATGTGTCTATGGTTTTGTATCCAGTGTGGTGACACAACAGTGCAGATGAGGGTCTAGCTTGAGTAAGTTGGAGGTAGCTTGATTTGGATTTTGTAGTTACAAGCCAAGTGGAAATGGAAAAGAAATTGGAAATGGTGAAGGTGGTGATGCTGGAAGTAGTGATCTGTCTAAGCAGCAAGAGGGGGGGAGTTACGGTATGATGCCGATGGTGGTTATGGAATGGTGGAAGTTAACACAATACTGCTATTCTACCCAAATGTTTACAGTTGACACCAAATTTTATCACTAAACGTTGTGGTACATTCATCACCGTTAGATAAGTAAGTTCCACTAATGTCTACGAAGATCAATGTGCTACATAATTGTAAGCAAAATTTTGTGCAAACATTTAATGACAGAAGTATTATTGGTGTAAATATGTAGGTTAGTAACTGTCAATGAGTCGGTGAAAGGCTAGTGTGTGGGTTAGTAACTGGATTAACTGAGCCATAGCATTGAATTGTGGGAGTTTTCCAAAATCCTCGTGGGGCTAAAGTAATACAAGGATGTAGTTGAAACTTGAAAGGGCTAAAATAAAATCAGCCAAAATTCGGGGATGCGGTGTAATTAACCTCTTCTTCTTTCTCCCAACAGTCCTGCATATGCATATTTGGGAGTCATTTCCCACATATGCAAATTTGGGGGTCATTTCCTACATATGTAAACTTGAGGGGTCATTTCCTGCATATGCAAATTGGGAGTCATTTTCATTAGGTCATTACGTGATAAGAAAGCAACATGATTAAATGGTCCACAACCTTTCTTATAACCGAAGTAGTTCAATTTCATGACAAGGTCCTCCGCAGTTGGTGCCTAAAGGTCTCGTCCTTTGGTCACCACTTTAGCTTTGCACTAGAGAATGATGTGTGGAACACCAATGCAAAAATTAATATATTTGCTCCTGTGTATATGTCTTACCCTCCAATTCATAATTTGCACATGTTGGGCTTACTGTACATCATTGCCTTTTGTTCTCTGTCATTCGCTGATTGTTCTGTTGTTGAATTAAGGTTAAATTAGCATCATAATTTTTGGTATTGGACTTGCACCAAGAAGATGGATTGACGCCTTAAAATCCTCTTAATTTCTGATGACCAGTCTGAAGGCGAGCCAGAGAAATTTGCCATTCGATGACAGCAATTGCGACAATGGATGGGAATGGATGTCTGTAAAGGGGAATGCACAACACAAATTCCAAGGTACACAACACCAAAATATGGTCACTTTCTTTTGCTTCTCTCATTTTCAAAATTTTTTTAACTCAGCATTTAAAATGACCCACACACAGAGGTCTTATGTTTCTTTGTACTATGTAGTGTAGTTAATGAGTTAAGGCCCTTAATTTTGTATGCAAAACATCAACTACGTTATCAGAGAGAAGCACACATCGTAGTAAGCAAAACTACCAACACAGTTTCTCACAACTCAAGATAACCATGATTTATTTATTATTCGTCAGTATTGTCACAAAACGGACCAGTTATTTTAATGGAGGACAAAAGTCCTTAAAGCAAGATATTAAGGGAGATCCAATTTATGCTAAGTTGCTCGAAAAGCAGGCTTTACAGGTATAAAAGCAAAGTCCACGAAAGTAACTCCAGAAAAAGAGAAAAGGGAACGTGAAAAAAGAGTTCCAAAGCTGGACTGAAGGGCCGGAATTTTATATTTTTATTTTTTTAAGAAAACATCTCTGTACATGTTTCTGCTATGCTTCTTAAACCACTCTGAAAATCAAGTAGTGGCTTTCAGTATACAACCAAAAACTTGTCCAAACCTTACTCCTCCTGTTCATGTCTCAACTAACACTACACTAAAGCACTACCCTTATCTATCATCTCTAACTACAACCATCAGTTAATCCTAATCTAAACTTCCTTTAATTCTGGTCAGTCTCTTTCCATACACTCCCAAGTTCATCCAACCAGTTCACAACCCAGAAACACATCCACATATGCACAACTACTACCAGTCCACTATTCTAACAAAACAGCAAAGCAAAGAAACCCACAAACCATCTAAGTCCCAGTCGCCTTACTTGATAGCAAAAATGCTTCACATCCAAACTCACACTTCCAATGCTTCTGCACTCATCAATGGCTTTGTGTCACAGGACCCTCTTTTGGTTCAACAAATGGTGACTGTACACTATCATCATCAGAATCACTAGCAGAAGAACTACCGGAATCCGAATCTGCAAAAAAAAATCAAAACAATCATCATAAACACCCTATACCATCCCTCCCTCAACAGGGTGTATCCCAAGAATGTTTAGAGAGAGAAGATGCTATTACCACTAGATGAGGAGGAACCACTGCTAGAACTTGAGCTGCTGGATCTACTACTAGCATAAGCAGCATCCTTCTCAATCTCCACTGGAGGGTAGTTATTGACTGGAAACTCATCTCCAATATCAACATCCTCATCCTCGGCATCACCTTTCTTGCTCTTTTGAGCTGACAAATCTGCTGTGGGCTCTGCTGTAGGCTCTCTATCTGGTGACTGCTTATCAAAAAACAATAGTCATTATTAGCCCACTTAAGCACAAGAGAATTAAACAAACATTTGACGACAAAAACAACAATGCCATAACGTTGCTGACCTCTGTTGTTGAAATTGGATTACTGATAAGCCCCTCCCTCTTTATCTTGCTCACAGCCTTCTTGTGATAGCTCACAAACCTATCCAGCTCCCATAGGGTCTCATTGTCAAGAACCTCGATATCAAGTTCAATTTCATCACCGTCCTGCATCAAATAGGAATTCCTTTTCTTTATAATCAGCAACAACTGCTCCATCTTCTCAGCAGGCAAGTTCTGCAAACTCAGTCCCAACTTTGCCTTCTCGTCAAAGCTCATGTCTCTTTTGTTTGGATCCTTGGCCTTTGGCTTAGGCAATTTCATTGATCTTGGTGTCACCACCAACTTCGTAGATGGAAATGCTGGTGCTGGAATAGGTGGTTGTGTTGTAGGACTTGACAATGTCGGTTGCGTATGCACTAAATCTGTTTTCTTCACAAAGCCAATTGGTTCGTGCAAAGTCTCTGGCACTACAATTGGTGGCGGAGGAAACCAGATCTTCTGATTCACTTGCTCAGCCGCAACAGCTCTCTTATGCTCGGCCTCATACTTCTGATAGACCGGATTGAACATCTCCTCGAACTTCAAAAACAATCCTTCCGCCATGGTATACACATCCTGACCTTTCAAATTGTAAGTCATGGCATTGTTGAACGTCAATCTCACATCAGAAGCAAGATCAAGCGGAGATTTATACTCATTCTTATCAAGCCTTGACTTCACCGTTCCAAGATCCATCGGATGCTTTATTACCTGATGATAATCATGAAGCCCCAAAGCAACCACGTCCACCGGTTTATTGAATACCCAACTGTGCTTATGCTTCATAAGCCTCGTCAAGATTTGCCCACATCTTTTCATTATGCTCGTGAAAAGCTTATCAATATGCGAATCACAGGCTAGAACTCGTTTCGGATCTTTACCGTGAGAGAACGACAAAGCGCGCTTTTTGCCCACGAATTTCTTGTTCTTTCCGGTGACGAATTCAGGGTTCCGGTAATGTTGATTAGCCTTTGGTGTTCGCTTTGCAGGAGAACCCACGACCGGGAAAGAAGAGTCCAATGTGTTGTTGATCTGAAGCGGGGTTGGCCGTGGGGCTTCCTTAGCTCCCCCGCCATAGCTGGTGGAGAAATGAGAGACGGGATGAATTGGTCTCGATACGAAGTCTTGGGACTCGATCCGAGACCGGAGGGTCTGGACCTGTTCTAGCTCCGAAATCAACCGTTTCTTGAGGTGTTTCAACTCCCTTCTCGAATACGAAGCTAGATCGTAGGTCACGTAATCGCCGTGAAAAGATTCCTGGTGATGGTTGAAAATTGATTTCCGATTTACCACCGGCGTATCATCAGACAGCGCTGGCGGAGTAGATCGGGGCAATGGTTCTTGACTCTGCAAGAGGTGTGGTCTGCTTGAAGAATCATGGATCTGTTTGACAAGGATGAGGTTAGGGTTAGGTTTAGGGTTAGGGTTTGGGTTTGGAATAAAGCCAGAGATAGGATTAGGGTTGAACCGGTTGAAATGGGGATTATCGGTGGAGGTGTTAGTGTATTTCCTCATATAAACCTTTCTTTCACCCCATTGCGGTTCATTTCTGCTGGCCAGAACAGCTGATGCCATGTAAAGCGAAAAGGATTGCGTCAGATTCCGGCGGCTAATCTCCGGCCACCAAATGGCGGGAACCCATGGCCTGATTGCCGGAAAGTTCAACTACCACCGGCCGGAGAATAACTGAAGGAATCGCAATACGAAGAAAGGATAAAAGGAGGGAATTGAAATTAGGGGGGCGAGGGCTTCGAAGACCCCTCCTATCCTGAACGAGGAAGGAAGGGAAGCGCACCACCGCCTCTTAAAGGCAACCAGATCTGCCCCCTTCTGTTTAGGGCAGATTTTCAGCCATAGATATTTAATCCAACAGCCATAGTTTCTTGCGTTGCTACCCGCCAAACTGACCGACCAATCTGGCACAGACGGCTCAGATCTAGGGTTTTGTACACGTGGAGGTAGATTGGGACGTGGATATGAGAGTCGCGTTCTTTGGGTTGGGGAATTTAAATTTTAGAGAGTCTTGGCTGGGAGGGTAAAATTTTTCAGATGCCCCCCCCAAACGGAGAGTCCGTACAAGTTTTTATGTGGGGACCACTGTTGAATGTTGATGACGTGGGAATCGACGGACTGAAACTATCTTCTGGTAGGGTGTGTACGTGTCTGTTGTTGCGGACTATACTCCCGCCAAAATCAGGGGCTTTTTGCCAGGTCAGCGCTGCTGATGGTCTTTTAGATGGACGCCACGTGTGCTTTCATGCGTTCTTATTGGTCACAGTGACGCCCGAACCCTACTCTCCTGTTTGACACGTAAGAGGCGTGGTCGTGCAAAACTCGTCTGAAATTTAAAATTCATTTTCAATTGAGAAAATAACAAAAACTCGAATTCAAAATTGAAGTAATAGAATTGGTCATTACTTGATAATTAATACAGAAATAGTAGTTGTTTATATAAATTCAAAGTAACTAGAAGCGAACTGGTTCAATTTTTTTTAAATTTCCTCATCCCATCATTTAGAATATTAAATAAGAATTACAAATTATAAATAGATTGAGATATATGACAACATATGATTGAGTGAATTATTGTGTTGTAATTAAATAAATCCAGATATTATAGGAAAAAAAAAAAAGAAGAAGAAGCCTTCACAAATATTCTCTCCTCTAAAATGATTAGTGGTAACACGTGGGATGCATAAAATTTATAATGTATATAGCCTCATTTCTCGCCCTTTTAAAAACGTACTCATTGCATAATTAATTGATTGTAATAAAATTTAAATTGGTGTTTGCTAACAATCATAATAAGAATACTTTATTTAATTTTTTAAAAATATTAATGCTCCGTTTGGTAAGAATAATGAAAAGTAGGAGGGATACACTTTCAATTCTTCAATGATAGAAAATAAGAATTATACGCTTTCCTTCATTTTGTATTTGGTTGGATGGATGAAAAATAAAAATGATAAATTTTTTTTTGTGCTAGTTAAAATTACGGGTGACAATCGAGTCGTATCGTGTCAAATTCGTGTTGAGTCATAAAATTATAAACCTTTTATATTTCTTGTTCGCGTGTCAGGTCATTTTCAAGATCGTGTCAAGTTATAATCAAATTCGTGTCGAGTTCAAGTCGTATTAACGTGTTAAGTCAAAAATTTTCACTCATAATTAAGATGAATTTTATTTTTAATTTAAATTTTTTTAATATATATATATATATATATATAAATACATATGTTATTATTGTATTTTTATATGAAATTAATATATACATAATATATAGACAAATAAGATACAATCTCAACATAAATAATTTACTTTTCATCTACTTTTCTTCCGAGTTTGGAGAGATTGATTTTAATGAGTTAGAAAAAAAGTTAATACATTCACTTTTTCATCATTCCTATTTTTTATCCTTACTAAACATGATGATTTATTTATCTCTCCAATTTTTTATCCTTTCATTTTTTCATCATACCAAACGGAGCATAAATCTAGAATAAATAGTAACAAATTACTCGGGTGATAAGTGTGGGAATTTTAGTAGAGGAAATCTTTTCTTTTTATATTGAATAATTAGAAATGTGAAAATTGAAGAAATATGAAGGAAAAAAAAATCCCAAGCCCTCTTTCATGTAATTCAATTGCTAATATTTGGATAAAGATATGATTATTTATGATTAACAATGAATTGATTGGGTTGCTATCAATCAATTTCAAGACTTCTGAATTAGATGATCCCACCATATATCGAACTAACTCCATAACAGCACTTCAATTAGATTTTGTCGTGCTGTTGCCAAACGACCAGACAGAGTTGAGAACAAAGATCGAGAGGAACAAGCAATTGCAAGGCCTTTTAAACGTTCATTAAACAATATAATTTAAGGAAATTTCAGGTTAACATTAATGTTGTGTTACTATTGACACGTAGTGTTAATATCCAATTATACAGTTATAAGTGGACAAGATGAATTTTTTTATTTTTTTTTTACTTGTGATATTTATTCTCTTATGTGGATGGTACAGTTGCTAAATCATATAGGATTTACTTACCTACTTAAAAATTTATTATTACATAGTGATATTCATATGATATTGGTGATGTGGTGTTAATGTTATTTTTCCCACCAATGTTATTGTTTAAAATATCAATTGCACATGTAGGGATGACAATTTATGACACAACTCAAAAACACGACTCGAAATCGACACGAAATTAATTGGTTAGAATTAGTGGTGGAGCTAGAATTATGTTCTAGGATGGGCAAACTCTAATTATAAGTTTTACTTTATTCTCTAATAGGTAAAAATAATATGATAGTTTTTTTTTCACATCATACTTGATATTTAAAGATTGATTAACCAAACGCAAGTAAATAATATATATGCAAACAAAAAAATAACTAAAAATAGGTTAATTATAATTCTTTACTAAAAATTTGGGTAATTACATGAGAGATGTGATTATAATATCAATGCCAAAGTCACAAATGGTAATATTAATACCAAAGCTTGAAGGTTGCGGCGTGTGGGACTTCACTTATTGTTGATGCTTTTGTTTGCTTTAGTGCTTTTGGGGGAAAACTTGAAAATGGAATTGATCAGCACTCTTTTTTTATCTAATTTTTTTTTTTTTATTGTTGACTCTTAAGAGATTCTATATTTCATTCTATTTTTATCCCAATCCATTAACCAAGAGATTTATTTTTCCAATGGATTTAATTTTGTTTATTTAAAATCATCAGGGTGGACATAATTAAAGATATTAAAAAAATACACAAAATATGCATAAATAAAAAAAATCAGGGTGGCCCCGAGTCTCTCTTGGCCCATGTGTGTCTCTGCCACTGATTAGCGTTGACCATTTTTTGGTAGGAATTACACGAATTGACATGATTAATCCGTTTAAATAATATTATAAGAATAAAATGTCATTTATTTATTTATTTTTTCAAGTAGTGACCTAATTCTCGTATAAAAAAAATTTATTTTTATTCATTTTTATTTCTATATTTATTAAGTTAATTTTTAATTTAGAGAAAAAATATGAGCATGTGTTTGATTNACTACACGAATTGACATGATTAATCTGTTTAAATAATATTATAAAAATAAAATGTCAATTATTTATTTATTTTTTCAAGTAGTGACCTAATTCTTGTACAAAAAAATTTATTTTTATTCATTTTTATTTTTATATTTATTAAGTTAATTTTTAATTTAGAGAAAAAATATGAGCATGTGTTTGATTAAGCGATAATAAAATTATAGATATAAAATTGAGTGTTAATTTTTTTATTTACGAGTTATATGGGTTAACATAAACACAATACAAAAATAAATAGATTGACACAATAATTAATTAAATAAGTTAAGTTAAGATTGACTAGCGTTCGATACCAACCCTAAAATATCATGATACAAAACACCACATGATTGCAACCACTAATAATATGTGAAATCAGTTTTCAATTTCTAACCCCCACGAGTTCTATGGCTTCTGAAATCGTGGTGGGAGTGCTAAGCCTGCAAGGCCTGATAACTTATTACCCTAAAAAGCCTTGCAACTTCGTCTTAACCGTTTGTTCTGATATACCGTTCTATGGGATATATTAGTCCATCATTTTCATCAATCCTTTGCCTCGGCGATTTAATTGGTAGATTTTGTGACACATAACTACTGCAGTTGGTTATTGTCGTGGAGTATTAAAATTTACTCAATTTATAGTAGTACTTGCAGAAGAAAGAAACGTGACATCTGATCTGTGCGTATAAATTGTATATGAACCAATCCTATCAATTCATTTATGAATCAGACCTGGCTAGTTAATCCAATAATGACCTGAATTTATTAAAGCTAAATGTATATGCTGTGTTTGGCACAAGAGAATACTTTTTACGTGAGAATGAAATGAATATAAGAATAAAATAAAATGTACATTATTAGGATTAAATGCTGGAATAAAATTAAAAATTCACTAAAATATTTGGATAATCCCTAAATTCGGATCAAACCTAACTAAGGGTGCAACTTAGGTGGACCAACTCGAATTCAACTCGAAAAAACAAGACTTGAGTTAGAATTTTTAGTACTTTGGTTGAATTTGGGCAAAAAAATTTCAGTCCAAATTGAATTTGGGCAAGTATCAGGTTGTCGGGTTGAACCCGAATATACATAAATATATTTAACTAGGATTAGTATTTATCTCCACTCTTCAGAGTATAGACTTTCACTTCACTTCAAATTTTTACTTTTGTGCCTCTATCACTCCCAGATCCTTCTCTCACTCATCACTCCTCTCACTCTCACTCCCTCTTTCTTTATTTGCGTCTCGTCCTTTATTTCAAATCACTTGAAAAAATTGAATTTACACTTGAAAAAATCAAATCTACATTTCAAAAAATCAATCCGAATTAGGTAACTCAAGTTCAATCCAATTTTTAATCCGAATTAAGTAATCCGAATTCAATCTGAACCTGCCTAAATTAAAATCAGGCAGTACTCGAGTTTCGTATCTCAAGTTGAGGTAGAGTTAGGGTTGAAGATTATTTACTTAAAGTTGGTATAGGGTTGATCTCTCAACCCGTCCAACCTGCCTGAATTACACCCCTAGACCTAACCCCCGAACTTGGACATGATCTCGCACCCATGACCTAACCTGGACTCGAACCTTGGACCCTACCCTGAACTTGGACCTGGAGGTGTGGTGGCGACGACAACTACAAATGATGGAAGTTGAGAATGAGAAATACCACTA